GGGTGGTTCCTGTTGAAGCTGCTGCTTCGGGGCGTTGGAGAGGGGACAGTATGATGGAGCAGTTCTAGGGCTTTACGTTGGAACCCTATTTCCTTCTGAACGTTATCTCCGCAATGTGAGTTCGGGAGTTCTTCTGGAAAAAGGAGATTTTGAGACGTTTTGAACCGTTCTCCCGCACTGCTGCGGCCAATTTCGGGAGTTATTCCATGGTTACCTTCGCAATGCTTGTCTGCATAAAGTGAAGTGGTTCTCAAAACGGGATACCCAGCGAATCCAACAAGCTAGGGTAATATCCTCTGATGAAAGAGCTCAGGCTTTGGTTGAGATGGTGAGTCCAGGTCCATCTAGCCACCAGGCGTGTCGCGTGTTGTTATCGTGGTAGACTCGTGACTCATCTGCACTGGTGACCAACTAGGGAATGTCCTATCTACAGAATGAAACTTCTGCAGATGGTCAGGCGTGCTTCTCGGTCATGGTCAGTCGATGCATGCTGTTTCCATCGAGCTTCATTCTGCTACAGCCCTTCCATTCAGGTGTCGACTCATGGAGCGTAGGCTGCGTCCAGATGTTTGCTACAGTTTCCTGCTAATAGCGTCCGGATGCACTTCCTATTCGTGCGCAAGGGTCTTCATCGAAAGTGACTGGAGTCCAGGATAGGGTTCATGTAAAAGCTGGAACAAATACAGCGCTGATCTTGTGAAACTGCCTCCTGGGCTCTTCGCAAGGTCCTTTAAATGGTCGTAATTGTTGAGTGTGGCCGTTGCCTATTTCGAATCCTACTTACAATTAGTTATTCCGTTGCGCATTTGATCTTCTGAAACATCCTGGCTGAAGGTCTTGATGTGTTCTTCAACATGTCAACCTATCTCAAACGAAGTTATTTCGACATAAAACACAGAGAAGATGTTTTCATAGCGAGGAACTTTATTATAGCAAGTACAATTATGATCCGTTTCCCCTCCTAACTGACTCAAACGAACGAACCACTGTGTTTCACCATCCCCGAGGCTCTAAGCCGAAACGTCGATTTCTCAAACACCTGCCGTTAGGGGTAAAACTCTGGCTTCATTTAACGGTTTGGCGTCCTGCAGGCGCTGTTCCCAGGAACATTATTCCGCAAAATTCAACTACTCATAGCTTTACAATTCTCAAGATCCAGGTTGCACTTGTGATCTCCATATTTGTATGCTATACTCCATAAAGACTGCCGATTTGCCGCGACATCCTTTGAGGATAGGACTATGTCGGAAAAATTGTGATGGTATAAGAGATGATAATAATGAAAT